AGAAATATGTTGTAAAGCTAGGTGGATAGAACATACTTGTAGGACAAGTGCTACAATGTCCCAGCTGCACTTTTGCCCATGAATGTGATTCTCTGTTTAACCTGTGTCTTCCCTACCAACCTACAAGTTCCATAGGCAGGACAGGAGTGTGTTTATTTTTACTTACATTTCTCCTCTTGTGCCAGATACAATGCCTGACACTTGGTACATGTTTATTATTATTATTATTTTATTGCATTTTACAAGTATTTTTTGAATATGTGTATCAAAATATTAATAAAGAATCCATCCAGTCTCAACTACCCTCAGTATCCTAAACTATCCTCAACATGGGAAAATAGAATATGTCATCTTCTTTCACACACCACAGAAATTGTCTAGCAGAATCCTTATCTTGGTTCTTTGTGATCTTTTCTGGGTTACTCACTTAGTAATGGCTAATAATGGTTAATATTAAGAGTTCCCACTACGTTCCAGGTATTCTATACAGATTATCTCTCTTAATCTTCCCAACCACCCTGTGAGGTATGTGCTATCATTATCTTCATTTTACAGAGGAGGAACCTGAGACTCAGGTTAGCTAAGTAATCTCTGCAAGGTCACACGGTTAGCAAGAGAAAGAATGGGGTTCTTCTCAGACAATTGGACTCCAGTGACAGACACTACTGCCAGAAGGGCATATCTGGAAGGACTTAGTTACACTGAGGAGAAACTCTGGAGCCTACAGTCACACATGGAACTCTAAAATCTGGCCATCCACCATCTGGCGGGCACACGTGGCTGAGGTGTGAGAAAGAACCTCCAGACACGTGAGTGTCCTCACCAGTGTCCCTTGTTACCTCGCTTCCACCTCTGAGACAGGAAAGGTGGGTGCTGCGATCCCGGTCCCATCTCAGAGATGAGAAAAGCTGGAGAGTCAGTGACAAGCCAAGGTGAGGTGCAAACACAGAGCTGGGGTTAGGAGTCAGGCCGTGGACAGCTTGGCCTAAAAGGTTCACCACAAATATCACCTCCCCTAGAAAGACTTCTCTTCCCCTCCACACCCCCAACAGTTAAGCCTGCCCCCTTTGGGATCCCAAAGAGCCTGTGGATACCCTGGTAGCAACATGTAAATGTCCCCTAATTGACTGTTTGCAGATATATCTCTCACTACACTTTGAGTCCCATATGGGTTGTTGTTAGCTGCTGTCTAGTTGGCCAGACTCATGGTGACCTCATGCACAACAGAACAAAACACTTTCCAGTCTTGCACCATCCCCTTGATCGGTTGCAGAGGAGACCATTGTGATTCATGGATTTCCAGGCCTTTCTTCTTAGTCCATCTCAGTCTAGAAGCTCCGCTGAAGCCTGTTCACCATCAGAGCAACACGAAAGCCTCCACTGGTGGCTGTGCATGAGGTGCCCTGGCAAGAACTAAAACCTAGGTCTCCTGCATAAAAGGCAAGAATTGTACCAATGAACCACCAATGCCCTTGGGTACCATTAACACTGTGCCTGCCATACAGTCAGCACTCAAAGAATTGCTAAATGATGGAATTAAAGAAATGAATGAAATGAACGTGAAAAGTCATAATTTTCCTCCATAGGTCTTATACCATGGGCAACCTCAGAAAAATGCTACAAGAATTGTACAAGGATGACTGTGATAAGACCAAGTAGCCCAGGAAGCCACAGTTTTACAATGACTCTTGGCTTCCCAGACCCCATAGGACAATGTGAGGATCTATGGGAAGAGCCAACACGGTCAGAGCTTAGTATAAAGTCCACCATCAGATTAGATTTCTACTGTCTCAGAATCTGGGGGTCCTAGGCCCTACTACGATACTGCCATGCTTTCTTTTATCCATCGCAGCAGAGATGAACTCTGGGCCACTGCTACCTTACCCAAGCAAATATTAATGTTTCTACATTTTACACACCAAGAAACTGAAGGGAACATAGACATTATGTGACTACTTCAAGGCAAGCTGTGAGTTTGGCCCTGAAGCGAGAAAAATCACTCATGATTCAGCCCAAAATTCTAAATAAAGGTAGAAAACCTTTTCGGTAGTAGGAGTCATTCACTTTCAAGAGGTGAAAGACAACCCCACATCCAGCCCCAAACATACAAACATTTTTTTTTAAGCCACTGAACTTTGCTTTTGAACATGGAATATTTTAAAAAAGAAAATATTAAGTGATTATAAAGAGTAATTTAAAAAGACGATGGAAACATATCTGATAAATGCCAATATTTAAAAATATTCTTCAGTTCTTTATTGTGGTTTATGAAGTATAAAAAACCAAGTGTGGGGCAAAAAAGGGAACGCTAAAGGCAAAGAAGATAGATTGAAAGACGTACACTATGGAAGGCTGAGGTGGAGCGAGAACCAATAGGCTCTGTGCAGGGAGTGCCCATCCCTCATTTATGCCCCATCTCTACCCAGTTAGTATCTTGTCTGGTTCCCAATGATAAAACTGAGAATCAGAGATATTAAAGCTCTTGCCCAAGGTCACTCAGCTTGTAAGTGTTGGACCTGGGTCTAAATGCATGCTGGTCCATGCACTTCCCATGATAACACCATGTATTAGTTTTATATTGGGTGCTTCCCTAAATAAATAGCCCAAGTCATAACTCTCCTATTTGCTTAAGCATGTCTTTATCTGCTACCAAGATTCCAACATTTGGGATGTTATCTTCAAGCCTTCAAGCTCTGCTCTAAAAGAGATGGCTTTCTGGGGGTAGGTGGAAGGAAGGGGAAAA